ATAAAAAAAGCTTAAAGAGGCCCCAAAACAAATAAGAATGTTTGATTATAAACAAAAACACAAAAAAAAACGAAATAAGAAAAAAAAAATAGAAACTCCAAAATCAAAGACAAAACAAAATTTGGTTTTCCACAGACGATGAAAAAAAAAAAAAGAGGATCTTTTGAACAAAAACTAAATATTTAAAAATCGATAAAATTGAAATAAAACAAAAGAAACAAAATGTAACGTACGATACGCAAGGCAAATCATACTAACTCTCCCTGGTAACAGTGAGGCTACACGGAAAAAATACTGGCACAGTAGCGCGCCCTGCAGGAGCACTGTTCCGCCCAAACACACTGAACGCGGCACGCCTATTGCCTGAGTGCGTCGCTCGCCACTTCAGGGCTCACAGCGAGCCCTGACAAGGCGAGCTGACTGGCTCAGCTGACTGCTAAATCTGCCACTACTATTATAATATGTGGTGTATACATGTATACATAGATCAGCTCCCTCTCCCCTATTCAGGGCTTGCTGCGAGCCCAGAGCTTGGATGAGCAGCGATCCAAACTATAGGGCGCGCAGTCTTCTTTATTAGTGGCGAGCCGCTGTGCCAGTCTTTTTTCCGTATACTTGAGCAAGAAGGCATCAACAGGAGGGGAATAAGGTAATATAAGGCCCAGCTAGCTTCAAATCGCGGTACTCGGGATTCAGCAGTCGAGCGCTATATCAAGAGGGTCGGGTCCCGAACAGAAATTGAGTTCAGGCACTGAACAGGTCCTGGAGAGGTGCCTGAGTTGCCTGCGCAGGACCTGCTCAGGCATTAATGGAATTTTATCCAACGATGTGCACAGGACCTGCACAGGCAGCCTTAGCTCAGGCAACCTGGACAAATATAATCTAGTCCTGAACTGACTTTTACACAATTAAATAGTAAGGTTATGTTACATAAAAAAATGTTTTTAAACAGAGAATTTGATTTCAGTAAAGTTTTATGGGATACAGGTAAGCTGGGAATGTGATATTGCAATATTTTTAAAATTTTATCCATGTGGCTATTTGCAATAAAATACTCTCTCTTCCATTTCCAAAGTTGTACATTCAAATCACGAACTTTATCAATATTGACACTTGTTTGTTTTTTTTTTTTTTTTTTTTTTTTTTTTCTTACGCACTGTCATTAGTTGTGTTTAATTCTTCAAAAATTTCTTGCTGAATATCGCTCTAAATTTCTTGCTTATCAAACAGTACAGCTGAGTTTTCACTAATATTATCTGTAAGTTTACCTTTTTTTTCATTATTTCCATTAAATCTGTATGGTTTACTTTTTTCCGAAATTTTTCTTTTACGAATAATTTACATTCTATATTTATTTCGCCTCTTTCGTCGAGAATAATGGTTTTGCTCCATTTTAGATTAATTGAAAAAAAGGTTAAGACTATACTGTAGTAGCAGACAGTTAATGTCAGTTCAGGCAAGAGCACCGGACCTGTTCAGGAACTGTGCACAGCCTGAACTCACATATGCATAAAATGCCTATCTTGCCTGTGCAGGTCCTGCAAGCTACGGCACATTTCTATTCGGGGTGTTACCAAGAGGAGACACCGAGTGATAACTAGGGGAGGGCACGACGAGCCTAGAACGGAAACACACGCGCGACTTTGCCTTATAAATGGGGTATTTTGAATAAAGGTCTTTTGAAGTAACACGTGTTGGTCATTCTCGCGACGCACTTCCTTAGCAATCTCTTTCCCACGTAACAGTTTTGGTGCTGGGTGTGGGATTCGGTAAGAGTCAGAATTTTTTTTTTATTTGAGACGTTTTAAAAAATTCCGCTGAGAAGCACACATAGTGCAGTGTCGTGAGAGCGCGACGATTAAAAATCGAGAGGCCGAGGATCGGATCAAAGACGACAGTTCCGGTCATATTCTAGAAGCAGCGGTGACAGCAGCCCTGAAGCCGACAGGACCAGGATACCAATTGCAGATAATCACAGGGTCAAGGAGACAAGCGCCGAGCGCTAAAGGGGAATGGTCTTCAAAATTGTATTTTTATTAATGTGCATATCGACGAGCACGTACGTACATTTGTAATAAAATTAATTTTATCCCTTACCCCCAAGGAAAGATAGGGAAGGCACTTACTAGGCGAAGATTAGGTCGTGGGAAATTTTCATTTTTGATGTATATTTATTATTTCGTTCGCTATTTTTAGTATTTTCTCTTCTTACAACCCAAAACAAAAATCACGCTCGATAACAGATTTAAATACGCAGTAGACTAGGAAAATTTTTGCATTTTTGCACAACGAACGTAAATCAGAGGTATTTTATTAGTAGGCTTGGTTAAGACACAGGAAACATTCGGAAATCACAACTCACATCCATATCGGATGAAAAATTTATTATTATTTTTATCATTTTTTTTTTTAACAAAAATAGACGACAGATTTTCCAAAAAAAAAATTTTTCTTTATATACCTCTAAACGAGAATACAAGGCTAAATCAAAGAAACTAAGTGAGAGAAGAATACCGATCTTACCTCGCCATCTACAATTTTTTTTTCTCTCGTCCGATTATTATTAATCTGCGATATAGGTAATTGAACGCAACCCCGCAACTGTAGGAGAATACATAAGATCTAGCATAATCAAAAAGGAAGATACGACTCACGATATATATTAATAT